ACAGATCCCTTTCTCGAGAAAAGCTCTAGTTTGAGAGACGTTTCTCTCCCATACGTGCAAATGTTTCTCTAGACTCTAACATTCGCACTGACGGATATGTTTGTTTGTCTATGTGTTGATATGTCCTTGTCTCTACAAATGTATACATTTGTTTGTAATAGTTGTTAAATCATGTCAATGTTAAATCTAAAGTTTAGTTTTCCTGACCCTAGAAACGTCCAACGTGTTTTTTACTTGCAACTTGTGACTTGTCTACTCGCCAGAACTATCTATCTTTCGGAAGCTCTTCTCTAGACATGTCTACTCCTGGAAACAGGTTCTCCAGAAATCTGAAACGTTTGACACGATTCCTCATCGTCTTGTCGTCTCGACTTCTTGTTGTCTCTTGGTCCAAATTCTTTACTTCGGAGCGCTTGTTTTGTTGAAATATTTGTTGAATTCTGTTGACACTTTTCAACATCCTTTAAATCTAGGATCTTTTCCTTTCAACATGTTTGCTTTCTGATACTTTTAGACTTACACAGCCCTGGCGAATCCTGCGTTTCGAATCTTCCGGTTGCTGGGAAGACCACCGTGCTCCTCCGACTCACTTCCACACACTGTTGCGCCCGGGCCGGTCCCGCAACCCTGCAACACTTGACCGTCCGAGTACTCTATTGCTCCCAGTCTCTTATGGAACGCCCAGGATCACAGTCACCCCAATTGAAACCTATTGAAACTTGGAACAGGCTCATGTTGCTCATAGTTTTTGATCACTCATGACTCATGAGACTCATGTACTGCCATCTACGGCCTTTATCAACCATCCAAAAAGCGCTTTCCCACGAAGTTCTTCCCTTTGAACCGAAACCAAGCAAGTCAGAGAAACCCCGTCAGGGTCCTACCTAGAGCTTTCAGGATGGACTCCAGCTTCACAACAGCCACAGCAACTTCTCACTTGAAATTATGTTCTACCAAAGGGGTGACCTCGCTCGGATGGCAGCCCATCATGCGACCAAAGGGGCCGAAGAAGTCGGCAGCCGATTTCGAGCGAGAGTTCCATGTCCAACTTTCTTTCCGCCCGCTGAGGCTTGAGATGGGCTATTGCCAGAACTTTTCGAACAACTGCAGGGGTGCTCAGAGAGAACAACCATATCCTCGGAGCTGGGTGCAAAGTGACGGGTCGTACCGGAAGGTATTATCGGATGTGTGGTGACCCGCCTGAACCCTGACCACCAATGTAGCGAACGACGAACTCCAGGTATAGGTCAGCCTGACCAGGTCAAGCAAGGTTTCCTGGTCTTGACCCACGGCCCACAACCATATTTGTTCTTTCTGATCTGAGTCTTGGACGGTGGATACTCTTGGATACTTCATGAGTTAGCAATCAGCACTTGGGTGGAAGGTGACAGTGGACACCCCACTTGAAGTGGTTTTTCCTTGGCCCATCCTGTTGTGGTTGTCATCGTCATCCTCATCAACATCATCGTTTTCATCGCAGCAATAGAAAGTCAGGCACTACCTTCTCATGAGTTTGTTCTCCACATGCTTCATCGGTCTGTGTGTAATGCTGTATCCCACTTCCAAAATGGACTTTTTGGCCGCATACCACCAATATTGCTAATTTGACTTGCAGAAATGTAACACAGACCGAAGAGAGATGCTATGACACGCTCCGGCCTGGCGCACTTGCTCCCAGGCCCTCCAAACTGCAAGCTCTGTGGCTACGACAAGGACTGTCCCGGTCACATGGGGCCAGAGGCCTCAGGGGCGGGGCCCCTTTGGGCATTTTCCACGTCAATGTGTCAGCCGCCTGGGTTCCGAAGACGTCTGGCGTGCATTCACCTTGACCTTGCAGTCAGTCGGTCGGTGGACAATGGAAAGTCGGAGTCGGGTGAAAGGATGCCACAGAGGTCAATCTAATCCAGCGAGATCTACTGCTGTTTCTCTAAGGCTGGTGCAGAATTTCTTCCAACCACCATCTCCGATCCACCATCCCAGGCATATCGAGTTTGCAACTCCGTGGGGGCCTCGTCCGTTGCAACACAGGAGATCGAGGTTCTGAAGGGTTTCACTGTGCATGTGAAGGGACGGATCTTCAATCTGTAGGTACAAAAACCTATCTAAGCTTTGTCGTGTGTTGTTTTTACTTATTTGTTTGCCGTAAATCTAAGACACTCAAACAAGACCGGAGGCAAGAACCTTGGACTCTACAGAAGCTTTTTTTAAGACCCATGAAAGCTGTTGGCAGCCATCATTCGCCCGTTGTTGGGGGGGCTTTTCCTCCAAAGCCTGGAGTTGATGGGATTGTCCAAGTCTTGGATTGCGAGATTCTATCCATCAGTATGGCCATTCACCACCCATTAACAAAACGTCCGGAGCGGCCCATCGGGGTTTTCATGCTTCGTTTATTGGAAGTGCATTGACGTATTTCTTGAATGGCTCATTTGCAGCAGAATAGGATCTCTTTTCAATGAACAATCTCCAAGTTCAATCTGTTGGAAGGTCTTCTGGCTCAGCCGTTGGTTCTCGGACATCCCATTTCTCGCTCTTTGACGTTTCAGCGACTTCGAGGGATGAAGTGCCTTTCAAGCGTCACCCCTCAAAGTTCCAGAGCTTCAATTATAGGTGGCTACATGACCTTCCGGAAGTCAGTTGGGAAGATTCAAGCCGAGTCAGGGAAGAGTTCACATCATGAATTGGTGATGTTTGGAGTTCGGAAGACCCTCCGCCGCTTCCTGCGCCGCGTTTCACGGCAGCGCAGGGTGTTCAACCCCTTTCTGTTGACCACACTGATGAAGCTCATGAGACAGTACCAGCCTTGGGTCGGATCCGTGTTCCGTGCCGTGTGCTCATGAGAACGCGTGTTTTTTTTCCCTGCTGCTGCGCGGGAGGAGGCAATTAGACGGATCAAGATCCCGTCCATAAGTATCGATCTTTGGGGCTAGAGTAGTCCTGTCACCTCTCAGAGAGGTGCAGGACCATGCTGGCAAATTGCAAATTGGGTGTAGAAAGCAGGGTGATTCAACATCATTTGACCGGTCACCAAAACTAGTTAGTTGCCCCCACTTCAGTTTGGAAAGCGTACCTGCTTGTTTTTGACAAAAATCCTGTCCAGTCTGGTCTCTTTGGGGGCTTTGACCTGTCTACTTAATGCATCTTGTTTTGCTTGTGCTGTGTGCCCTAAGTGCTTTGCACGAAAGGCGTTTGACATTTCATGCTTTCCTTCTTCCTAGCTTTCGATCGGCGGCTATACCCAACGCCGAACCCAACGCGGCGGGCGCACGGTCCTATCGTCCTATCCACATGTACCGTTTTGGGGTTGCGACCTGACTCGTCATTTTCCGAAAGCTCAGGACATGCATGAAGTGCCACAAGTTCAAGTGCCACGAGGCACGGCTACGCCCGGCGGTGCCACGCTCTTGTTTAGGTTCCCGGGACGATGTCCAAGTTTGTGGATTTATGTCACATGTATGTGTCCAAATGTGGGACTTCTTGCCTAAGATTTGATTCCTGAATGGTCCAATTTTGCTTTTGGTTTTGCGCTCCAATTTTTTTAAGGACTTCTACCAAGTGCTATGCTGGAGATCAGAGTCTGAATTTGGTTCCGAGGGCCGATACTTTCAGAGAAGGGCGGAACCATCCAAAGACCACGCTTGAAACGGCCCATGGAAGTGGTGCATGGAAGGCCCACCAACGCCTGCAGAACGGGTGATGGATCAACAAACAAGTGATACGGATCAAACATGATCAAACAATGCTTTTTGAGACTGAGATCAAACATAAACTTAAAAAGGACCAAACATTGATCAAAACAATATTCCGGAACAAATTGGGTGCGTAAGGTTTGCTGGAAGTATCACCCTGGGGGGCCCCACAAAAGGGTCAAGTCTGACCTGGCAGGCTTTGGTTCGACGCACATAAAGGTGCATAGGCAGAATGGCTTCCATCTGGCTCGAATTTTGAACACGCACTTGGGGCCACCAAAGGGTTGCGTGAGGTTGGAATAACTCCATTTGACTCTGGAATTGCCCAAACCAGGGTGTGTAAGATTTGTTTCAAATTTCCGTGCGGTTCGTGGCAAAAAGGTTTGCAAGATCTTAAAGGCTCTTATGGCCGGGTGGTTCACAAGAGAGCGTTTATGGTTTATGGCTGCTCTACATGTTACCTCTCTACATGTTACCCTTGGTTGCCCACAAACGGATGTGTCAGGCTGGAATAGCTCATGCTCTACTTAAAGTTGACCGATTGGATTGAAATTTACACTCAAGAGGCCCACAAAATGGTAAAGGTGCAAGGGACCAAGGGATGAGGGGACCAAGGTGACAGGGGACTAAAGGACCAGGGAACCATAACGCTTATTGCTTTTGTGCCTATCCCGTGCAGGAACTGATCTGCTGTGAAGGTTGGCCAGAGTATGAGGGTTGGCATGTGAATTGCTTTGGCGTACTGCAACTGAGTCCACCATCCCCATCCGATGCACTCGTCACGGCCTGTCCAGTGAGTGCAGCGCACAGGCCGTGAGTGCAGCGCTGGCTTCTTGGCGTCCAACGACCGTCCGGAGATGTGAGGGGCCACCGGTGGGTCCGTAGCTCTGGTGTAACTCAGGAATAGCAAGGATCAGAGGTCTGTAACTTAAGGTATATCCAAAGATATACGCATTGAATATTGAGAGACTACACCTTTGATAGTACCTCACTCACCTTCTTTTGAGCTGAGAGGTCTCGTGCGCAGGTGGTATCTGGACCCATTGACCAGGGAAGGGGAAAGAAACAACGAAGACTCAAAGGTATTCACCAAAGACGCAGGGCGGCGCCACATGTGTGCTACACTTGGGTGCCACGCATGGGTGCCACATATGGGTGCGCTACATCCTCAGATCCTTTGGGACTTTGAGGACTGAGCAAAGTATACAAATACCAGGGGATAGGAATCAGGAAAGAACCTCAGCCAAGAGTTTTGTCGGACGGGGTGATTGTGGATCGGAGGACCCCAGGTCAGTTTGGCGGATATGGATGGATATGGAGACCCTGTTTTCAAGGAAGGAAGTAGCTCACGGTTTTCCAGGAACTCCCAAAGAAGGAGGTCTGTCTGATGAGCTGGCCGGTCAGAGCCTTTGGAGGTTCGCAGCTTGAAGCCGTTGGCGGGTGGCGACTTGCCACCAGTGCTTCCCCTTCAGCCAGAGAAGCAACTTGGCACCGCACCTGCTGGTGTAGACCCTTCAAGACCCGTCTCGACGGATTGAAATCAGGTCACGGTTCGATGGTTTGGATATTGTTGGTAGCGTGTGTCTCGGCTTTGACAGATTAAACATGGTAGCGTATTCATGGATATTGTTGATAGCGTTTCTCATGTTTGGATATTGTTGTTCGATAAGTTGAGAGCGGGTTTTGACAGATTGAGGATAGACGGAGAAAACGCTGTGACTGGAATGGGTCTTGTCTTGTCGGTGCTGTGTGTGGGCTGGAATTGGGTCATGAAGCTGATCCGTGAAAACCACTCGGGTATTCAACGAAGTTCCGAGTAGATCCTCAATTTGCCAAGGTGTCTATGCTCCAAACATCTAGAATCTAGTAGAACACTGATATGAGATGATATGAGTATTGACTGTATGTGTCTTCCTCCATCAGGTCGGCCTTTGTGGCAGAGATTGGGGCTGAGACAGAGGCATTAAGGCTGCTGGTGGAGGAGCACACCGAGGAAGGCGGGAAAATCGACCACAAAGAAGGACAGTGAAACAGTGATTGCATCGTTTTATTTGGCAAGGTTCACTATCATACATATCATATATATATAATATATACACATGTTGGACATGTAGGCTTCTACATTGATCTACAGCTCTTGCGCCAATCAAAAACAGATGGGAATCCTGCTAGTGTGGCCCCAGCAAACCAGTCTCCATGGACTTTGCGCGTCGAAAGAGATTCAATTGTGGTACCCGGTTGTTCAGCCCAATTCAATTGCTTCCATGCATGTAGCTTTGGATGGGGCATCCGATGCTTTGGCCTAGGACTTAGGATCTCCTAGGATCATATCGTCCCAGGCCCCCTCAAGTGACCTGGAATGTGGGAAGATTCGAAGAGGCGGAAGTAGTCCTTGGACGTCCTTGGGGGTTTGCAGATAGATGTATTCTACACCTAGTGAGGCTGAGTTTATGGGGTGTCCAAATTCTTCTTGGACGCTCATTCTATATTAATTCATTGTAGCTCGCTGAGGCAAAATCGAAAGCAACTCGGACTCGTGCCATTCTCAGCCAGGATCGCTGGTCACCTTTGCCCTTCTCCCTCCCTATAGGACCTCTCTCGCCGGCGAGGTGTCCAGATCTCCCGCGAGACGCTGCCCGCGCGTGGGCCGAAGGAGCAGTTGCAGGCGGAGCTCATTGAGATCAGAGACTCTCCAAACCAGTCAGATTTTGGAGCATCTTCATGGAATGTTCGTTTGTTTTGGAGTTTTCAGTAGAATAGAGCCTTTGCCACTTGTGACCAGGGCTGGTATCAGGGTCAGGCTTGATGGGGGAATTCATTCCAGTTTTGATTAGGTGTCGTTCTCAGCCACCAGGTGACCCGGTGACCCTTCAAGAGCTTCACATGGGGAACCTGACTCGTCTCCGAATCCAGTACCGAATCCATGGTGACTCGTCTCTGGGACCGCGGTCGAGGGCGGTCGATTTCTGCAGCAGTTGGCTCCAAAAGGATTTGACCGCTTCATCTTCCAACTGATTAATCCCCTGAGAGAAGATCGTCCTTACGAGGTCGACTCACCTTGTGATTTCGTCATTGCTTTCACTCAGTGAATCCTGATCTCGCGGCGTGGCCTTTTTCGGGATGAACCTGATGAGCTTGTCGGAGGTCAAGAGCACTTGTAAGCCTTTGGTGGAGTTGGAGGACGATCTACCCGGATTGAAGGCCGGAAAAGGAGGGGGGTTGTGGCAAGTGGGAACTTCGCTGTGGGTGAAAGGATTTGCTTCTCTCAGAGTGTAGAAAACATCGACTGTGACAAACTCGTTGATTCCAGAGAAAGCTCAAAGAAAGCAATTACAAAGTTGGGTCGGGCCAAACGCAAGGCCTATAAGGGAGTCTCTAAGGGATACTTTTTTTTAACCGGCAGGTACGAAGACTAATCAAACGGTGATGAGGTTGACGAACTCAACTGAGTGTGATTGCATTGCACGTATTGTTGGCATCAAACCATTGCTTTTTCTACCATGAAGTGTTTGGCGACGTGTCGCCTCCACGCAGAGCGAACCATACCGGCCCTATGGGTTTATCAGCATGTCCCATGTGCCATGTGCATTGTCGCACCTCTCCATCATGCTGTTCATTGAATCCTTTTGATGTGTTTCATTGACAAGAAAGTGCATTTTTATACATGTAAACAACTGCACAATTTGCCAAGATGTACTGAATCAAACATGTTGCATGCTCCGAATACAAAAAAAAACAACGCTATGCCACGCTACCGGTGCTGACAGACCAGGGACCCAGGATCGATCCAGTATAACAGTCCGTTCAAGGAAGGTCAGGATCGATCAATGCCTCAGAAACATTGTAATGATATGAGTAACTATATATGTATAAATATTTATATACTTTCTCTGTGGAACATTATGTTTTCTATTCTCTTGTGGGTTCATCCACCCAAGAAGCTTGGGGCTTGCCATGGGCCTGTTTTGCACCACGGCGCCGGATCGAAACAGCACCCGGTTTTCCTCTGTGGCGATGCGGCAGGAGTATCAAGAGATCCCAGACCAGCGGATGGACAGCAAACCCATACGGAATTCCTACTGCTCCTTCACGGAATACACCAAGAAGGACAGGCAAACTCTGACGGGGTCGCTGTTTCGTGGGCTTTGCCATGTAGCAGTACCGGTGTTGTGGCTATTTTCTATGCGGCTGCGGCGGTATATTTTGAGACTCGCTGAAGCTTGCCATCTCGGGTTTCTGCCGCTTCTCTTGGGTCCAAGGGTTTGGAGCCATCCTCAGTCCCCACGACGTAGTGATCATCCAGGTGCTTTTCAACAAATGGCAACTCAATAAGCAAGCAAAACGACTGACACTGCTCGTGGTTGAAGAAACACCACATGAGCAACTGTGGGCACCAGAATTGTTCTTAACAACTCAAAAAGAGGGTTCTCCGCAGCTCCAATGTGTGCAAAGCTCCTGATAGACTGGTAAATTTCAACATGCCCTTGTAGGCTAGCAATGGGGTCCACTGTGGCAAGCTAGCTCAGTCTTATGACACGTGAATGTGGAAGCCTGCATTTCAAACCTATCTTGAAAGATGCCCCCTCTAAGCCCAATCTTTGGGACGAGTTCTTGCTCTGGGAGCTATGACTCGAGTCTGAGCTTGGATGATTGCGCTGATCAGCCCGGCTTTCAGATGCATCCGTCAATACCATGGGTGTTTCACCTGCCAGTGATGGGATGGGTGACCCCTCGCCTTCACGTGTTTGACGCGCCAGGACGTCTTGCCATCACCGAACCGCTTGGCCCATGATGCGACTCTTGGGCCAAGGAAACCGGTGCCGTGGTGTTTGGGCAGTTTGGGAAGCACGAAGTTAGATTGGCCTTCCACAAATTCGGGGCGAAGACTCCTACCCCTCAACTGGTTACAGAGATTTCAGTGGTTTCCAGACATGTAAAGGCCAACAGAGATAGACGTCGTCGCAGCAGTGAAAGCGATGTTCACCACCCATGTTTCCAGCTCCACCGATCATGGATTTTACGTCGTGCTATGCGAGGTACGTGCGGGAAGTGAATCGCTACTTGGCCTTGGTGGAGGAACAACCTCAGCTCTTTGAGAAGTACATCCAACAACGACGAGGTGCCTGTGAGGAATTTGGCCAGGGCTTGCAGACAGCCTGAGGGTCACGCAAATCATTTGACTGGTCAACAATTGTTCAGAGCGAAAAGGGACTAAGAGCAAGCAATCCTGAAATAAGATAAATAGAGCCTTGATGAGCCTTGTTTAGAGTTTTACAGGCAAAAGAACACTAAGCAGTCAAGATCCCTAGCATGACTGTCATGACTAGAACTTAGTCTTCCAAGTGTCAAGAGATTTTGCACAAGTAACAATGCGATTGTTATGAAACCCTTCAACCCCTACGGCCTTTCTAAGCCTTCCCAAGCACCATTGCTTGCTCTTACCAGGCACTACTAACACCTAACACACACGGTTTGATGCGGGGAAGACATGCAGACAACGTGAGCACCGCCGACCACGGAGGTCAACGACGAGGCTTCAGTTCGAGGGTCCGGGCGATGTCCTCTGATCGCTCCGATCGGTCTCGTGGTCGCTGAGGTGCGCGGGAGTCGACCATGTGTGTTGTCGAGGGCTTTTTGGCCAAGGGCCAAATGGAGGGCGCATAGTTCATATTAACCCCCCTCCATTTGGATTGCAAAACCATGCGAAACACCTCTAAACACCTCTCGCGCTCAACTCAGGTGTGAGACTGTGCCGCACTAAATGGTATCTTGAACCCTATGAGGATGGCACAGAAAGAGCGACCACCCGAGCGGGCTGCCACTTGTGGCATGAGCCGCCTTCTATCGATGTTCAAGTCCAAGCACCAACAAAATGCAGGGCGATTTAGCCCAAGAATTACGGGCAGGATATGCCTAAAACACAGTATGCAACCAGCAATGCGTAGATGTTCAGTGTCAAGCAAGGAAGCCAAGCTGGAAACTCATTAAAGACAACACATGCTAGCAAAGACATGCAAAGACTGGCCAAAGAACAATTGACAATTGCCCTTTGAATTAGCCAGTCGATGGCTCAATTGTCCTGGGGGAGCATAGTGCAAAATGATTCAACGCTGTTTCAAGGCACGTTCTCCGCACAGATCTATTCCCCCTTGCAGCAGGACCGTTTTCAAGCAAGCTGTCCTGAAGCAGAACTTGGAAGCTTTAGGCATCACCAGCTCCATCAAAGTTAAAGGCCGCGAGCCAAGAGCTGCCACGTATGAAGTACAGCTAGCTCAGGCAGAAATCAACATGGCGAGGTGCCACACGTACTCGATCTAAGCGTTGTCCTCATGGACAGGGTGCCGCACCGTTTGCCATGCGGCTTAGTAGACGAGCCACCCCACCATGGCAGTGGCCCCGCTGGCCGTAAGCCAGGTAGCTTGGGGCCAGGGCGGTTGATTGTAAAAACCTCTTCGTATAAGTCAATATTCTACATTGTAAAGACAAATTCAGATTTACGTTATATGGCATTCGTGTCGGCTTGAGTGGGGTCATAGCGCAAGCATGGCAGGTATCATGTTCTGTCAGAGGTCCGGGGCCTTGTCCATTCCTTCTCATAAAACCCCTGGCCATGTAACAAGGAGATGGGGGAGGACATGTACGCGGCGCCCGTTTTTGCTGGCTTGTCATTTTGGAGCTCGGTGCTTGAGCCAGACCATGGGTCCCGATATATTTTTTGGACTACTGAAATTTGACTTGATGGAGGGCTTGGACACCTTTG